GGGGGAAGAAAACAGAAAAAAGTCTGCGATGTTGAACAACAGGTTTAACATCTCGATGAATTTCTAGTGATAATAATTTTAAATATCGCAGACCTAGTTAAACTTTTGAAAAGAAGCGATTCGTAATACCTGACATCAGAGGCATGATCCATCCCTCGACATTTTTCGGTAGTACCTGGATCACTTTTTCGACCTTCCACAAATTATCCTCCGCTTTATAAAATCGATAAATATTCGACGTTACCGCGCAGCCGACGAATCCTTCGGCTGCCAACGGATCATGAAGGAATCTTATTTCAAGAGGTGCAATTCCGTCATCTCCCAAATTAATTGTCTGTTTTAGCTTCCGTTCATTCCACGAGTAAACGTTCAAGCTTCTGCCATAGATCTCTGCAAATTTGATGATTCAACTGCATGATTGCATGACGATTATCGATATTTCGCGTTTCCCCATGATAAAATTAATTCTTGGATAAGTATATATTTACTGGGGTCATGAATATCCTTCGGGATGTATCCCTTCTTAAAAATTCTAGGTGCACCCCATTCTGTAGCGATGAGCGTATCGTGATACGGTTGGTACCAAAAATCATATCCGAAAGCTGCTTTATCCTGACTCTTGGTCCATGTGCCTTTCGTTTGTAAGGTTTCTGCGTCGATGCAGAAAAATTCACCCAATCCGTCACCATTAAGATTTCCCATAGTGGAGATGATTATCTCTCCGTTTGGCAGACAATGGGAAGTATGTGGTGTGGATATCCCGTGTTTGTGCATCTCTTCCGGTTCCAGAACCTCATGATCATAAGAATTACTTTGACAAGCAATACAATATCTTTTGTATCGAATTTTGTATATTTCGTCTGTATATTATGTATGTACATGCATACATACATACACATACACATATAAACATGTATAGAAAGAGAGAATATTATCAGACGTACGCCATCATATATATATATATATATATATATATGATGTATACTTGTATATTTATACGATACCTTTTTAATTCTGGGCATTTTTTCATTGCTCGTATCAACCAGATACACTCGGTCCGACATAAGACATGGCAACACCAGCGTATTGCGTTTACGATCGGGCAATCCGTGACAGCTGCTACAAATATTCCAGCCAGAGTGGTGTAACTCATCGCCGGCCGTTAGCATTCTTAATTTGTGTATTATCTGCGTTTCCAAGCCTCGTGTTTAAATTCATGTTGCTTACAGTTAATAATTATTCTACGATAATGTAATCAGCTACGTTTTAACAAGATGATACCTGACAATACGTTGGACTATCGGGATCCACATCCACCGTACAGAGGACATCGGCTTTTTCAGGATTTGTGTGTATGCCAATGACGTACAAAAGTTTCTCACGCGGTCCTTCGAGCATCGCCACCTTCGGGTTTCTGTAACCTGGCCCGGAACGCGCTACGATTCGAAGGTTATTTATCGCAAGCATTAAAATTATGCTACATTTACATTTTATAATGTTACTACTTATAACTACAAGGGATATTCACTGCAGTAGACTTGTCGTTAATGTTAATGTTAGAGCATTAATAGATTCAGTAATTAATTGACCATCTATTGAATTTTGAGTATATAGACTTTGTTGCGACGCATTTTATATTTTACCATTGGATCGACCATATATATAAGTATATGTATATATACATATATATATATATATGTATAATGGCAGTACTATTAATATGTACTCTGATCATAGTACTACATTAGTAATTATTGATTGAATTGAATTGAACGCAATCTCGAATACTTACCTTTTTTTTCCGCCATCTCGTGTGAGCGTCGGTGTAAAGTACGTCGTTCGAGAGAGAAATCGAAGAGTGCTTCCGTATATTCGTCGAGACTCGCTGAATTCGCGAGTCGCGATGAATTACGAAGTCATCGTCCAAGTACGAAGTTATGATCAAGAAAACAAGAGGGGGAACTTTTTGTGTTGGGAGAAAGTCGCACTTTGTCTCTTTGAGCGATTTTATGACTCTGGAAGTTTACGATTAACGATGTTAATGGAGGAATGTCGAGACTCGGGATCACTCGTGATAAAAAAAAGCCGATATCACTTTGAGGATCGTAACAAACTGACTATACGAATAACTGTCGATTGAGAATGTTGCAATCATGCAAGATCGTGAGAAAATAATTATCAAAGTTGCAGCACAAACTATATCTCTCACTGCTTCGTGGTGCGCAACAACACATAACTATAAATACCAAATATTACAATATTTATAGACGGTACAAAATAGCATTATCACCACTATGCTAATAAGAGACAATATCATTAGCCGTAAAAGATAGCGTACGTATAACGGTGTGTTATATAAGCACATCTACAATTAAAAAAATATATATATATTCACAATTATATTTTAGAATAAGTTACAGAATAAATATTTTTTATAAGTTAATAAGTTTTAATGAGATTTTGAAATTGATCGTCTTGATGGTAAATAATAATTGTTCTATGCGCAAATTGTTCTATGTTAAAAAGATATATTTGAAGCTGCTTCTAATTTGAAAAATCAAAGAGTTAATCTCCTATGTATTCATACAGTTGTTCCGAATACAAACGCGATGAAAAAGAAAGCTTAATCGAAGATTATACCATTCCTTAATTGTGTGTGCGTGTGTGCGCGCGCGCGACAGACAACAGACAGAGAGGGGGATGGGAGGGAGGAGAGAGAGGGGGGG